TATCGGCCACAGGTGTCATTTTATTTAATTTTTCTGGCTGCAGATCCAGGTATCCCGAGCCGCAAACCCGAGCAGCCCGTGAGCATTTGGGCGGGATGCGGATCAGCGGTATTTGGGGGGGGAAAAAAAAATCATCAACCTGTCCGAAATAATCAAAACCGTTCCCTGCTCCGCATACAGCGATCTTAATATTGGCTGTCAGCAAGGAAGAATTTCTATCAATTATTTTAAAATTTTATTACTTATAAATAAACGTTTTGCCAATAGATTAAATATTTGGGAATCAGACACAGCCTGCAGGGAAGCTGAGGAAGGCTGGAGAATTGGTTAAGGAAACGAAGATCCACTTTGGGAGATCCGGAGGGGATTTGGTTTCTCCTCGGGGACGGTCAGGGTGATAGACTTTGCCCGACTTCTCCCACAGTTAAAATGGAGTTGGATTGCCTGTGCCTTACAAAGAGGAACGAAAAATCCCGTGCTAGGTTCTGGCATTGCTGTGGCCGGAGATTCAGGACAAAGAAAGGCCAGACACCATCTACCCACAGTGATTTAAGAATAATTAAATCAATCCTGCCACGATACAGGAAGGGTGGATTAAAAGATGCCCCAGTGAAAGCTTAGCGGGATGCGGGGTGGAAGGAGACGTCCTGCTATGCGTGCAACAGGAGCCTTGCTCTGGAAGGGCTCATCCCAAACCCGAGGTCCCTGCCGAGGCAAATACCCCCAGTTTGGGTGCTGTGGAGTAAGTACGGGTTCGTTTTCCTTGTGGACCAGACAGGGCTGGATGAAAACACAGCAGGGGCTGGTGTACAGCTCACTGTTTGGATGGGAGAGAGGAAACGAAATTCACATTTGTTTTATTTTCAGTTCTAGACAGAAACAGACCCGCAACGTTTGGCCATAGTTGTATGTTCTGTACTAAATGGTTAAGACCTCTAGTTGTACCAAGAAAGGGCTGGGAGATGACAGGCCAATAGTCTGCAAATAGCTGCAGGATAGAACCACCGAAAGGGATAGTGGATTGTGGATTGCAAAAGGGACAGGGGCTACCCAGGGAGGAGAGCTAAAATGGGAAAACTTCAGCTGAATGTCAGGCAAAACCCTCCTGCCGGTGAGCCTCGCTGGGCTCCAGCACTCCTGTCGGGGAGGGTGGAGGAGAATGCTTGAAATCTAAGCTGGATTAAAATTGGAATAATTTTTCCTGTGGTCCCAGAGAGAGAAAATACACGAGTTAATGTGCCTCTGCTGTCCCTAGAGTTCACAGATTTGTCGGAGCTGAAGGAAAACTGTTTGAAAAGAGAATGGATATAGGAGTGAATTTAAAGAAGGGTCTGGTTGCAGGCAGGTCCCTTGCATTTGCATGCTGCTTTTGTTAGTAATGTTATTGATCTGGTGGAATCCTTTCGATTCTGAATAGCAGAGAATATTTCTGAGATTTTCTGTTTATGCTCTCTGGAACTGTAGGGCTTTTCTGAAATTCAGATGTATTTTATAAAAATACTTTTTTTTCCTCTTTTCCTCCCCCTTCTGGGAGCTACATGTTTCTTCATTTGATAATATATTTATACATTCACTTTGAACAAAGGCTGCAATTCGTTGTTGGTTTTTTGTGGGGGGGGGTTGTTTGTTTTGTTTTGGGGTTTTGGGGTTTTTTTCCATTAGAGTGTTGTTAGTTTCTATCAAAAACTGTGTTTTGTGTACCAGGAGGGTGGGAGTTTTAACCCTCGGGGGAGTGGAAGTGGTCCGAGACCTCTCATCCATCCCCTGGAGAAGGGCTTTTATCCATTTCGTCTTTCCAGCTGCTGATTTTTCAATCTGGTTGTCCCAAGCTGAGAACTGGCTGCGCAGAAGCTGGTTGGGCTGCTGCCCACCCAGGGTGGTCCAGGAGGATTTCCAGAGGATAATGGGGTGATGCAAACTGGCAGGGAGCAGCTAATGGGATACGGGACTGGAAGCAACCAGGGTAAAGGCAGAGGAAGGGAGCTGGCACTGGCTTTCGTGGGGAAGGCCTGGTGAAAAGCAGCGGGGAGCAGAGTGGATAAAAACCTTTGGAGGATTCAGCTGAGGAGCGGGGCTCCAGGGGAGGGTTATTTACTCATGGAGATTGAAAAGGCTAAGGACCAGCAGCTGCGGAAGGTCTCAGCACCTCTCCAGACGGTGTCCCGAGGGTATGCTGCTTTATCTCAGAGTGACTATCAAAGGGTTAAGAAACCTCTGGATGCAAGAGGAGGAGGGGGGTGGTTTTAAGCCAGGCCAGGGGTGGGAGCGCTGTTTTAGGGGGGTGAGGGATAGAGACACCCCCAGGATCCTTACAAGAGGCAGCAGAGTCTGAGATGTAAGAGCAGCTGCCATCACTGCTGGTTGCGGTTGCTCGCTGCTGGCAAGGGACCATCTCCAGACGGAAGTCCCTGAAAGGAAAGGTGGATCTGGACAGGCTGGATCAATGGGCCAAGGCCAAGTGTATGATGTTCAACAAGGCCAAGTGCAGGGTCCTGCCCTTGGGTCACAACAACCCCGTGCAACGCTACAGGCTTGGGGAGGAGTGGCTGGAGAGCTGCCTGGCGGAAAAGGACCTGGGGGTGCTGGTTGACAGCCGGCTGAATATGAGCCAGCAGTGTGCCCAGGTGGCCAAGAAGGCCAACAGCATCCTGGCCTGTATCAGAAATAGTGTGGCCAGCGGGAGTAGGGAAGTGATTGTGCCCCTGTACTCGGCACTGGTGAGGCCGCATCTTGAATCCTGTGTTCAGTTTTGGGTCCCTCACTACAAGAAGGATGCTGAGGTGCTTGAGTGTGTCCAGAGAAGGGCAACAAAGCTGGTGAGGGGTCTGGAGCACAAGTCTTATGAGGAGCGGCTGAGGGAACTGGGGTTGTTTAGTCTGGAGAAGAGGAGGCTGAGGGGAGACCTTATCACTCTCTACAACTACCTGAAAGGGGGTTGTGGTGAGGTGGGTGTTGGTCTCTTCTCCCAAGTAACAAACAGTGGGACAAGAGGAAACGGCCTCAAGTTGCACCAGGGGAGGTTTAAATTGGGTATTAGGAAAAATTTCTTCGCTGAAAGGGTTGTCAAGCATTGCAACAGCCTGCCCAGGGAGGTGTGGAGTCACCATCCCTGGAGATATTTAAAAGATGTGTAGATGTGGCACTTTGGGTCATGGTTTAGTGGTGGCCTTGGCAGTGTTAACAGTTGGACTCGATGATCTTAAAGATCTTTTCCAACCCAAATGATTCTGTGATTCTATGTGATTTGTGACTGTTTAAAGCACTGTCTTCTGGCATTTCCTAGTTCTCCTTTCACCCTGGCATTTGATCGTTTGTGCGCAGAAACCCAGTAGATGGTGGGAAAAGCTATGCGCTAGCACGTTATCCAGGTTTCTGTAGCTTCTGCATCCATTTTTCTGACTCTTCATCATCTTTGCTTCTTCTTCTTATGTTTTTTGATCAAAGAGTTTTACTCCCCTCAGGACAATCTTCACATCCTACCAACTGGAGGAGCTGGAAAAGGCCTTCAACGAGGCCCACTATCCTGACGTATATGCTAGAGAGATGTTGGCCATGAAAACAGAGTTGCCAGAAGACAGGATACAGGTAATCATATCTCTCAGACCCCCTTAACCTGCCCCTCTCAGCCATGTTCATCCCTCCCCGAAGAAAAGGTAGCGGCATGGGAAGGCTGACCTTGCTCTGAATAAATCTCCCCAGGCTGTCCACTCCCCTGCTCTCGGTGGGTAGGCAGCCAGATCAGCTGTTCTTGGCAGATTTGTATTTGGTGGTTGTATGTCGGTACGTGCTGTATGTGGTGTGTTGTACCAGTGATTTGGGGTGTGTATAACAGAGGGAATCCTAAGTCATTGAAGGGGAACTGGTGTGCAAGAAAAGACCGCAGCGTTTCGAGGTCTTCGTGGTATAGGCAAGAAGAGAACCTCCCAGAGACTGGGCCTGGGTGGGCAGTGTGGGAGGGAAAGACCTCATCTCTGCTCCTTTGGGCACAGGAGGAGGGATGCACAGGGACGTCCTGGGCAGCTTGTACCACTGGGGGTAGGACCGCAGTGCGGGAATGAGGGGTGAGTCCCAGTGAGGTTTTTGCACCATCTCTGCACTTTCACTGCACTTGCCTCCTCAAGTGAAGCTTCCCTGAAAGTTTCTGGGGATAATTTTTTGTTAATGATTATTAGTGTTTGGGGTTTAATTGCATGCCAGTCCTGTTGTGCTACCGTGAGGAGGTAGAACGAGGCTCTGTGGAGTGTTGCTGCTGTGTGGTGAATGTTCTGGCAGTAAGGAGCAGCCAGCACCAGCCTTTGGCGTGCACGGCAGCCAGTGTGCAAGCAACCATTACAGCCCAAACAGCTGGAGAAGACTTACAGCTGCTGTGTACAGTGTGGGAGGCACACGGTGCTTGGACAGACCAAACATCACGTTCACAAGGGTGGACTCCAGCAGCTTCTGCTGCCTCCCTCCTCCCCATGCCTCGCTCCCACCAGGTTGCTGCACAAGACACAGGGCTGTAATGGCCAAGCCTTGAACCCATTTTAGCTCGTGCAGATAATGTTTCTTGGCTGGCTGGGGTTTAAACTGGCCTGGTCCCTCACACGGTGGCAGTGGCTGCCCCTGTGGCTGATGCATAGCAGCTTCTACAAGAGTCGTTGGCCTGAGCGCCACGCGTTGTTAGGAGGGTCCTGGTTTCCTTGGTTCCTCTTCTGTTCCTCCCTCATGCGTGCCCAGCACCCGTCGATCTGTTCCTTCAGCGCTGTGCTCTTTCTTTGCTAAAGAGACAGCCCAGGAGGCTGCATCCCTCATGGGTTTGGAGGGCACTTTGCAAGATAACACTGATGCTGGAAGCTGCTGAGGCATGACCCTGTGCAGGGTCAGGGAGACCCTCCCAAGCAAAAGTGGAGCCCTTTTTCCCTCAGTACTGAGCTCACCTCACTACCCTCATTCTTGTGCTCAATCAAGAGTGACATCTTTATAAAAGCAGGTTGTGCTGCTTCTCCTGTTGTTCTGGCAGGACTCCTGCTGACCTAACAGGCTTGTAGATAACCTGCATGCTAACAGGATTTCCATCGGTCTTCAGAAATAATAGCCCATCATCTGAAATCCTACCTGATGCATTAGGATTTTGCTCTGAGCAACAGGCCCTGATGCTTTGCCTCAAGAGAGAGCGAGCTGGATGGAGGGTCACTTCTCCACTTGTGACCCTGTAGGACATCAAGTCAAGAGGGGAGAGACCTGTTGGGTGTCTAGTGTTGCCTGCACCCACCATCTGATGGATGCAGGGCTGGAAAGAAGATCCTTTGATTTCCCATAAAGGGCCTTTTAATGGAAGAGGTTCACCTAGTGGCACAGTATATGTTGACCATATACTGTCAGCATTTCTCTGGCCAGAGCTGAGGGCCTTCACTAGGGGTGCGGTAGAGGGAGATGTTACGGCAGACAGTGCAGAACTGGACACTGCATGTACTGCTTCAGCATGTGGAGCATCCTTCTAGTGCTGAGACTCAGTGTTTTATCTGATTTGGAAGTGAAATAGCGGCTAACATATCTTAACTGTCACTGACTTGCTGACAGCACGTCACTCCGCAGCTGGCTCATGAAGAACTGCCCACTCTTCCTGTACTGCAGAGTTTTTAACCTAGGAGTGCTCCTTACTGTGACCCCTCTGCCCTAGAGATCGGGTTAGACTTGGACAGCAGAAGCACCCTGTGGTGTGGCTGTTCTGAACAGCAGATATTACTCATGGCACTTGTATTCTAGAAGAAAGTGCTTGTGAGTAACGCTTTTGCTCGTCATGAAAGGGGAAATAAGGAGAAACAGCAGAATTTCTGTGGTATCTGTTGTGTGAGAGCATGAGCACCCTGCCAGGGTGAGCATCATGGTCACGTAGGAGTCCTGAGCACCACTGATCTTTCCAAGGGGTCAGCACCCGAGTGTCCCTTACTACATACTCTGTGAAGTTTCCTTGTCCATACTTTTTCTGTGTCACAGGCCATGACAAGATGATTCCCAACCTTGGTCATGCTTCTTGATATTTCACCTCATGTTCCTTTTCAACTTTAGCCTCTTTTGCATGAGCCTAATTCCTTCCCCCTTGTTATCATGTTTAAATAAATCTAAGCTATTTCTTCTCCTGGTTGTCACTTTTGGTTTTCATCATCACTTAAACCAGCTGTGAAGATCTTTTCTTAAATAATTCTTCTTAAATCACACACCAGTCTCTTAATCATGTGGTTGTTCTTCAGTGAAGCCCATCCTGCCTGTCAGTATTCCCAGAGATAAGGGACCACGTGCCTACAGCTGCACACCAGATGTGTTCACACCAGTTCAGCTGGACTTCTGAGGCCTTGCAGAAACAGCCTCAGATTAGCACTGGTGTACTTGCTTCCATATTTATTTCATTCTATTTTTCTAATTCAGTCACTTCGAGCTCTTTTTTAAACAGATTTTTTTTTTATCCTCAGGATTTTCCCTTCAGTGTTCTGGGTTTCATATGGCACTTTATTAACTTTGGCTAACGGCTCTGACACGGGCCAGAGGTGGATGTTAGAGAAGAGCATGAGAGCAGGGCAGCTATCTAGTGATACTTACCGAGTACCTTGCCAGCCCCCTGGGATTTTGAACACATGTAAATATCTTCATACCCTGCAGCAAGAAGTTCTGCAACAGAACTGCATGAGTGAAGTAAATCTTGCTTTGAACCTATTAGCATCACTTAATGCCCCTTGGAAGAGATAGCTGACAATGAATCTTTATTCCCTTTTTCATAATATTTATAATTTCATGTCATTGTATTTTTTTTTTTCCTTGCATGAGTTTCTAACTGCTCAAGGGAGCTCTGTATTTTTGCATTTTCATTGTTGCTTGCAGTTCCTCCCATCTTTCAACATTGTTCTCTCCCTCTTGTAGGTCATTAATGAAAGTGTTTTCTAAGATTGTTATGAGTATCATGTGCTGTGGACTTTCACAGCATTTCATGTGGGTTCCCACTGGATCCACACCTGAGAGTGATCTCTACCCCTTATTTTCATTCATGGAATTATTTCTCAGGAGGTAGTAGTCAAAGAGAAAGTAAATCACCTATGAAATTCAATATGAAAGTGAAATTCAAAGAGTGCAATTGAGAGAATGATATATAGGAATTGCTTGCATGTAAAACCTTCAGCAGAACACTACAAACAGCCATCAGAGGCCAAGAAAGTTATTGGTTTGAGAGAACATTGAACTCAGGAAAAAATATTCAAATCCTCCATTTAAAGAGAAGATGAACTTTTTTTTTTTTTTTCCAAGGCAGCACTCTTTCACATCGCATGCATCTTCCTCCCATATTGAGCTGGCTGCTCCTGGAAGGAACATGAGCATCCTCCTGTTGGGCAACGTGGGAAAAGAATTTCATTTTCCTAGGGAGACACTTTGCACAAAGTCAGACCAGATGTCACTGTGGCCATTTTGCGAAACACTTGAAAAAGACTATGTTAATCAATGTATTCGAAAGAATATTCAGAAGAGTTGAAGTGCTGCTATTAGAATAAAACCCAGACCATTCTGTAAAATCCAGGGGAGGTAAGTAGATTCCTGCGGGGAGATATATCCTTAATAGACAACTTGAAGTATTCAAAATGGCCTCAAGCTGACAAGTATTCTGACATCTGAATTAAATCAGTGTATTACTCATAACAGATACTCTTAAGTGTAATGTGCAGATTTTAGATAAGTTATCCCTATTGAATTTTTTAGTATGTGACAGTTCCAAACTTTGAACACCATTATCTACAATATTAAAGTTCAGTAACAGTTTGATTTGGGATTACTGAAATGACTGTGTATGTTTGTAATTACAGTATGTCTCCTACTGATCAAACAAATCGATTAATCAGTCCACTATTTCAAAAAAATAAGATCCTGACTGCCATTGTGGGGACACTAGATTCACCTTTTAAGGGAACTGATCAATTAAAAAAGAGAATAAAAGTGCTAAAAATCATCAGTTCTTGTTGTTAAATGATTTTATGGTAATTATGTGGATGAAGAATTTTGGGATAAATAAAATTGCTCACATAAGCAAAAGGAAGCCCAAGGAGACACTGATGCCATGTGTGAGGAGTGGGGATCGTCTGTGTATCCAGCAAGCTTTGTCAGGCAGCTAAGAGGTCAATTTTAGCTAAAAACAAAGCTAAACTCTAATTGAAAAATAGATTTAGCTGCTCGCAGGTTAACACATTTCAGTATCACTGTGTAGCCCCTTAGGAATTGAATGGGGATGGAGGAATCAGGAGGGGTGGTCATTTCGAGGGAAGCATTCGTACCAAGAGTATTTTTCTAGAAGAAGAGGCTTACCTTGCTCCAGTTTTGCAAAAACGTTCTGTGTTTAGAGGTGAACATAATTTGGAAAGGCCTGAGGAACCCGTATTGCACTGAGCAGGAGCTCAGGGGTGAACCCGTGGAGTGCCCTCAAGAAATGTGATAGTATGAAGGAAAAATTGGCTTTATGCGGCTTCAGCAGCCCCGGCTTCTCCCGCTCCCGCCAGCTTTTCCTGCGTGCTGCAGAGCGTTGAACTGTAGTCCCAACCCCACGGTGTAAGCATGGAATGGGGATG